CATATTTTAAAATGAGCCTATAACATTTATTTTATTTTAGGAAGCTGGTACTGAAGTAGTCCAAGCTAAGGCTGGAGCTGGTTCTGCAACCCTGTCTATGGCATTTGCAGGCGCCAAATTTACGACTTCTATGTGTCGAGCGATTCTTGGAGAACCAAATGTCGTGGAATGCTCATTTGTAGAATCGACAGTGACCGACTCGCCCTACTTTAGTACACCAGTTCTTATTGGGGTAATTTTTACTTTATTATTATTCATTAATATTTCACTCTGAATAATTTTCATAGGAATTTATCTTCCTGAGMAATATATATTTATATATTTCATGAACAATAAATATTTAATTTAATAAATTGTCATTCAAATCAATATCCAACAATTGTTATTTTGTTGGGTACCTACATTATTATTGTATACAAATTAAAATGGCAGTTTCATAATTACGAACTATTATCATATTAGAATAAACAGATTCAACTAATTCATTTCTCAATATCTTTATGTTGAATAATTTTCATTGAAGTTTCAATTAAAAGCTATTCTTATACCATGACCAGTGTATAATTTTTACTTTTATTTTTTTATAGAAAAATGGAATTGAAAAAAACTTTGGCATGGGAAATCTGTCAGATTTTGAAAAAGATTTACTTAAGGCTGCCTTACCTGAACTAGCTTCCAACATTAAGAAAGGAGCAGATTTTGGCAAGAACTACAAATAAATKTCATTATAAGTAGATAATTTATTTTCAATCCATTGTATTATTACAACATCATACTGCTACTTAAAAGTATTTAAATTGAAATTGTACCCTCTCTTTGTTATCCTTCTACATGACAATATCTTAGGTTTACCGAATATTATTATGTACAAGATATAAGAAATTGCTTGACATTAAATTATAAACATTAGGCTATGATTTGTTATTTAATATATCATATTATTATCAACTATGTCACAATAAATACTAGTTATATAATAAATAATTATTATTAGGAATACTATAACCTACTACAGTTTGTGTTTTTGTTTGTGTTTCCGTTGCTGCAATAATACCAACAATATTGTTGGAATATAAACCAACATCTTTCCTAATTTTCTTTTCAAATAACATTTGTTACAGTATGTAAACACAACTATTACATACTTGCACTTTGTATGTGTGATTAGTCCATGGCCAAACCGCAGAAACCACTGTTAACCGCCACAGACAGTCAAATAACTGTTGTTCTAAAGCACAACAATATTATTTAATTACATAT